GGATCAGCTGGAAAAAAGAGAAGGCAAATCCTCCCGGCTGCCTCCTGCCACCCAGATGCCACGGTGACAGTCTCAGGTTAAACGGCACTTGATGGATGGGGGGGGGGGGATGTGGGGATTAATCGTTCCTGTGTGGGAAGTGGGACTTCAAATACGAAGTTGAAAGGGTTTTCTTCTCAGTTTAGGAAAGAAATCTGGGAACTGGGTCATGCAATGCCAAAAGGGAAAGTGCTGATGTACTGATGGCGAGGGTTTGGGGCTGGGGGGGCTGCAGGAGTGGTGGTGCTGGAGCAGCTTTGGTGGCACTGCCCAGCCAGGTCACCCCATCACAGCTGAGGATGAGGGATGACTTGAGGGATGATTCCTGTCCCTGCCACCCCCAGTGGCCTGATCCTGCTGCCCTTCTCTCACAGGGACTGCACATCCTTTTAAATATCCCCTGAATTCTAATTCTTTTCCCCCTTGATCTGCTCCCCTGGTCGCTGCCCACCCAGCACTCCTCGGGGAGGGCACGGCTGGTCCCCTGCCCCACACTGCCTTCAAACCCCCACAGTGACCACCCCAGTGCCCCCAGAGCAATGTCCCCCTGGTTGGTGAGGGCTGTGGCTGCTCTTGGGCATCAAAGAGCTGTTGGGCACCCCGAGGGTGTTGGTGACCCTGCAGTGGCACAGGCAGGGTCCTGCTGGGGAGAGCAAGTTAACTGGTGGAGGAGAAGGAGGGAGGGGGGAAAAAGATTGTTTAAGAAAGAAATGACTATTTGGTCATGGCTTAGAAGTTGGTACTTAGAAATTCCATGAATTTTAAAATAAAGACATCGTGAGATTTGAACTTTATTTTGAATACTCACAAACTGCAGTGCCTAATACCTTCCCTGGCCATTAAGGAGCTGTGCTGGGAAGCAGGGAGAGCTAAGTACTGCACTGATAGAGCAGTTAAACAGCGTAATGGAATTGTGTTTGGAGAGGCTGCAAAACCAGGTATAGAGCCCATACATAAACAAGGCCATTACCAGCCCCTGTAAGCGGTGATAGAATTTCATGAATATCCCCACAAAAAGCTTTGTATATTTATAACAACCTGCAGAGTCGTTTGGAGCACAGTCGGGGGCCTTTCAAAGCGATTCTGGAGTTAAATTGTACAACAGATCTGCGTGTCCCTGCATTGGGATGTCAGCTGCAGGCAAAGCTGGATGGGACAGAGGGATTCTGAGGTGCTGTGGGTCCTGAACCAGTGCTGGAAATGACATTCTGGTGGTTATTGCCCACCAATTCTTCCAGTTTCCAACTTCAGACACTCTTCTCAGAAAGGTTTTTAAGATGCTCCTCTGTTTGCAGGGCAGGAAAAACAGAGGGGCACTGCTCCCCAGCTAGGATGGAGAGGGGAGGAGCAGGAGTGGTTACTCCTCTGCTGTCTGGCTGGGGAAGGAGACAGAAGTTTCCATGTCTCAGGAAAGGAGAAACAAATCTGGGAGCCATCAGCCTTGGACCATCAGGATGGGGCTCCCGTGGGGCTTCAGACCCACACAGAGAGAGGGCTCAGAGGGCAGGTGAGAGCTGGGGCTCCTCTGTGGCACAGCGAGGCATCAGCCTGGGTGATGGGCACAGCTGAGATCCCAAACTGGGGCTGTTGGGCACAGACAGATCCTGGTGCTTCCCGTGGCTGCTTTGCTGGTGATCCTGCACCAATCCCACAGCATTCCTGGGGCAGGCTGTCCAACACAAGCAGGACACGTGTCTGCTGTCAGAGCTGCTAAAAACCTCCACGAGAAACCCACACTCTCAACCTCTGCAACTGGAAAACAGGAAAGCCACTGCTTGAGCATATTTATTGCTTTAATTTGAATAAACAGATACTTTAAACTTACAAAAACTTTGCTGTGCAACTCTTGCAAAACCTGAACCCGAGTGATTGGTGCAGCTCAGGCACGAGCCGTAATAAAATGCTAATTGCAGTTCATAAATTACGTCGGAATGCCTGGGACTGCTGGAGCTCCTGGATGAAGTGTAGCATTCAATTTATCCTGTGCACGCTGCAGACAGTGCTGCCAGCCTCCCTCTTGTCCCCCTGTGTTGTTTTGTCATCTCTGGACTATCACCAATTCATCACAAAGGCAACTGAACTCGCCGGTGTCCACCCACCGGGTGACTTCGTCTTTGCTACTCTATGACTTCTAAATTAAATTGTCAAAACACATTACTGAGAGAAATATCGTGAAGGGGAAGTTCTTTACCCTTTTATCCCAGCTGAAGAGAGAATGGGTTTGATTTGGAGAAAACATGTCTGCTTCATTATCCCTCCTGTTCTCATATTTCTTCACTCGGCAGCAGCAGGAGAAGGGAGTCGATACACAAGTCGTGGATGACATGATGGAGCATCCCACAGGAGTTGTCCTGCTAAATTCTGTGATTGCCCAGGAAAAGCTGGGGGGGGAAGGGGGATTGTGTGTAATTTTCACTCTCTTTTCTTCCTCCCACTCACAGACAATTTAAAAGGTATTACGGGTTTGTTGGTGTGGACTTTCCCAAACTGGATGTTCCCGTTCTGCCGGCACTGGTTGGTCTGGAATAAGCTCCTTGGAGTCCTTGCAAGGGAAGAAATCAGCCCAGGAGAGGCACAGACTGCTGGCTGTGGAGAACACAGGTCCTGCTCCCACCCCTGCCCTCTTTGAATCCCGGTACCCCAGAATGGTTTGGGTTGGAAGGGACCTTAAAGCCCACCTCATCCCACCCCCTGCCATGGGCAGGGACACCTTCCACCAGACCAGGTTGCTCCAAGTCCCGTCCAACCTGGCCTGGAACACTTCTGGGGGGGCTAAGGTTGGGTAATGGAGAAAGTTCCTGGAAAATCATTCACCTGGAGATGTAAAACAAAAGGAGCCTTTCCTCAAAGGAAAGGAGCTGTTGATTCCCCCTTTTCTCATTCCCATGTTGGTCTCTGGCCATAATGGATTGGCCATAAAAAGCAAGCAGCACATTGTGCACTCATTCTTTTGGCTTTGGAAAATATTAACATAATAGACACATATTGTTTATTTATTCTGCTGTAGAGCAAGGGAAGGAGGTAGTGCCACATGTTTAAATGGGGTATTTTTAAATGCTCTCATTCCCGTGGCCGTTATGATGCATTAGCCATCAGTAGTCAAATTGCCTTGTATTTGCAATTTTATGGGTCCATTTTATCAAGCACACAGGAGCTGCATTCAAAGCATGAAAATAAAGTATTCCACTTGTGTTAGGCAAGCACTGTTTCAACTCGAGATACGGCCAAAGAGCAGAAATATCCTTTTTTCTCTGCCTCAGCTCCAGATTCATTTCCAAATGTTGCTTGTCCTTGCAGCAGTGACTGCTGAGAGCTCCCTTATGGCTGTGGAACATCCTCCGTGCACCAGGAGCTCACCATGGAATTCAACCTGCTGGGAAATCATCCCGTGTTCCTTGGCTGGCTTAAAATATCTCCCAGTAAAACCTTACCCTTGTTCTCCCAACAGTGGCTGCCGGGGGGGCACCAAGTGGTGCCTTCCCCAGTCAGTGTCCAGATTTCCAGCTCCCCCCATGGAACAGGAAAGCAAAAACGCTGGGAATTGGGAGGAAAGAGAAGTTCTCAGGGTGGATTTGGTGGCCGGGGCATGTCGAGCAGCTGGTATCTGGCCTTCACAAGGATTTGGGATCACTCCACTGCTCCCGGGACTTGGGGTCACCCCACTGCCCCAGGACCTGCCCCATCCCCTCGTGTGACCCCCGTGGGCACTCCAGGGACACGCTTTTGGGAGGGGAACTCCCGTTGTTATTCCTGGAGGCCGGCGGGGTTTGCTGAGCAGGAATTTGCTCCCTCTCGTGGGCTCTGGAGCTGGTGGCTGAGCCACGGCAGAAAGGGATGGGATTGCTGGGAAAACGGGAAGGAAAATGTCCCATCTGGCCCCTGGGAGGTGCTGGCCCAGCACGGAATAAATGCAAAGACCCCCAGAGAGGCACCCCCGGGTTGCAGCAGCATTTGACAGCCCCAAACTGACTCTGCCTTGTGATGGGATGGAGTTCTGGCTCTCCAGAGCTCTCAGCTCCTTCTCACATAGCACTTTATTGCTTTGTTGTCTCTGGATCTGCTAATTCCGCCTGGATTTATTCCTTCCAGGGAGCTCTAGCTGCCCTTCAACCAACTCCACTCTCCGTGTAACGTGAATATTGCAGTGCTCACGCTCTGAGGGGAAACTATGACATATTCCTCACATTTTCAGGACAAGTACAGCTCCATTTCACACATCCATAAAAATCCAGCAGCTTCGTCACTGCTTTAATTTAAATAAACAGGGAATTTAAATAAACTCGGGGAAACTTTGCTCTGCGGCTCTGGCAAAACCTGAAGCCAAGCAGCTCGGGCACGAGGCATAATAAATAACACAGCACGTAAAAAATTTTAATAATAAAATAAATAAGTAAATAAACAAACTGGGAATTGAATGGGAATTGAATCCCACGGGAAGGGACGGGAGCGGGCAGGGAACCGGCGGCTCGCGGGCCCCCCCTAACGGCGGGCGGGGGGAACGCGCGGTGCCCGCGGCCGAGGCCGCAGGTTCCCGCTGGGCTGCCCGGGTCCCCTCGGTCCCCCCGGGTGTGTCCGCGACCCCCCATCGCTGCCCGGGCCCCCCGAGCCCTTCAGGGCCAGGAACTACAACTCCCGACATGCACCGGGGGCAGCGCGGGGATCCCGCCGCGCGCCGTCCCACAATGCACCGGGGCCGCCGCCTAGTCACCGCGGGGGCGCGGGGCCGGCAACGGACGGTGTTAAACGTCGTTAAACGTCATTAAACGTTATCAAACGTTATCAAACGTTATTAAATGCTTATTAAGGGTTTGTTAAGGGTGTGTAAGGGCTTATTAAGCGTTGAAGAAAAGCTCAGCTACGAGCCCAGGTGTTGGCGGTTCTGCCCCTTCCCTTCCGGGGGCGCCCGCGGCGGCGGCACTACAACTCCCGGCATGCCCCGCGCCCGCCGCAGTTCCGTTTCCGGGAGCGCCGCCGTGTCCCCGGAGGGGCGGCGGGGCCCGGGCGGTGACACCGGCGGGGACACCGCGCTCGGGGCCGCCCGGGGCACGGACAGCGCCTCCGCCTGCGCCCCCGGACCGCCCCGGGGCTCCTTCATGGGCGGGCGGCAGCGCGCCGCGCTGCCCCGGGCCTGGTGAGGCGCCGCCGGCGGCGGGAGCGGCGGCACCGGGGGAGATGTACGTGCAGGAGGAGAAGATCTTCGCGGGGAAGGTGCTGAGGGTCCATGTGTGCACCATGGAGGGCGCGGAGTGGCTGGAGGAGGTGCCCGAGGACACCACGGTGGAGAAGCTCAAGGAGCGGTGCCTGAAGCACGTAAGGAGCGGGGGGGACGGCGGGGCTCGGGGAGGGGGCGGCGGGGCCGGGGGAGAGCCCTGGGGAGGGTCGGCGGAGGGTCCAGGCTGGGGATGGAAACCGGGGAACGGGGCAAAGGGATGGAAATTAAGGGTTGCAGGAAGGGCTGGAAAGTGGAGATCGAAGGGAAGTGTGGGACCGAGAGGAAAGGGTGGAAATGACGGTGGGGAGGAAGGGTTGGAAATCAGGGGCTGAGGGAAAAGGCTGGAAATCAGGGAGCGAAGGGAAGGGCTGGAAATCAGGGACAGGGGAACAGCCTGGAAGTCAGGGACTGAGGGAAGGGTGGGTGCGTCCTGTGTGAAGAAAACTGATTTTTCCAATGCCCTGTAAATGTCTTTAAAAAGTGTGTGGGGGGGAAAAAGTTTAAGTAAACAGATATTTTCGTGTTATGTTTAGCTCTGTCTGCCTCCCTCCAGGTTATGTGGGATTGTTCCATATGGAAGGAAAACACCCGTTTGGGAGAGTTTTGTGTGTTGGAAAAGGAGGGTTTGGGCGGAAATCCCTTAGTAGCCTTTTGTTGCAGAGTTTGGTGTGTGTTCTGCAGTGGGGTCAGAGATCAGCTCCTGTGTGAGCTGGGGGGGGTGAGTTGGAGTCTGCTGAGCTGGTTCTGATCATTTCCCCTCAGAAATTACAGCCTGGCTTGTTTCTGTGTAAGAACAAAGAACTGTGGAGGAAAAATGACACGTTTTGTAAAAATCTTAGCGCAGCCTCCCCCTGTGCTGGCACAGGAGCGACTGAGGCGTTTTTTTGGGGTGATTAAAAGCTCTTCTAATGTTCCTCCTGTGCTCTTGATGGAAGGGGCCAAAGGGTAGATTACTTGTCACTGTTTGGAAGAGAAAAGGTGCCCAAAAGCAGTGGAAGCTGAGCAGGAGAACAGGGGTTCCCTGTGCTCGGTCCCCCCCGTGTTTGTGGTGTTCAGTGTTAAAACCAAGGGTTTCAGAGCCACCAGACTGAGGTTTGAGGCACTGCCCTGATTGACAACAGCAGCGTGTGAGGTGGGGACCCATGGCCAGGACTGCCCTGGGCTCAGGGGCCAGCACAGCTCTGGCAGCTGCAGCCCTGGATCCTGAATCCTGCAGCATTTCCTCCTGAGGGATGTGAAACTTTGGAGTGGCAAAAGCAGGAACCTCAGCTCCCACCTCTGAGAGCACAACTTGCTAATTCACATTCAACAGTGGGTTTTTTTTCATCTTCAAAGTCTTGCAAAGACTTTTTTTTCATTTTTCCCCACATAAAACACATGCCATAGAAAATCCCTGTAATATGTCATTGCTTAACTCCCGTTTGAAGGGTTAAGGGTTTGGTTTTCTGGGTGAAATAAGGGTGCCCAGCAGCCCTGGTGGCCTCTGCCTTGGGGCTGCTGGCTGTATCCTTTTAGGTGGAATTCCTGGAAACCACAGGCCCCAGCACACCCTGGTTTTCCTGTCTCATAGTCCTTGTGCAAGTGCTTTTGGATTTAGGGATGAGAAGGGTCAGCAGGGGAGGGGGGGATTCTGCCCCTCTGTTCTGCTCAGGTGAGACCCCACCTGCAGTGCTGGGTCCAGCTCTGGGGTCCCAGCATGGGAAGGACACAGAGGAGGCCACCAGGGTGATCAGAGGGATGGAGCAGCTCTGCTGTGAGGAAAGGCTGGGAAAATTGGGATTGTTCAGCCTGGAGAAGAGCAGCTTCGGGGTGACCTGACTGTGACCTTCCAGGACCTGAAGGAGCTACAGGAAAGATGGAGAGAGACTGTTGACAAGGGCCAGGACAAGGGGGAATGACTTCAAACTGACAGAGAGTGGTGTTAGATGGGAAATTAGGAAAGAATTCTTCCCTGTGAGGGTGGGGAGGCCCTGGCACAGGTTGCCCAGAGAAGGTGTGGCTGCCCCATCCCTGGAAGTGTCCAAGGCCAGGTCAGACAGGACTTGGAGCAACCTGGGCTAGTGGAAGGTGTCCCTGCCCATGGCAGGGGGTGGAACTGGTTGATCTTGGAGGTCCTTCCTGCCCAAACCATTCTGGAATTCCACGATCCCAAGGGAAGATGGGGCTGCCCCACTGAGAGCTGAGGGTTCAGAGCCCCCCACACTCCCCTTTGTCCCTCTCCAGCTGAGAGGTTTAAGCAGAATGGAGCAAACACTGCCAAAACAGGGTGGGGTGAGGCTGACCTGCACATGTGCAGAGCTGAGAGGCCTTTAATTATCAGGAAGCTTAATTAATAGATGCTTCCCTTGCCGTGCAGGTCGGGGCAGAAGACAATTGATAACTCGGTGTGATATTTGATTTCATTCTCTCTGCTTCTTTGTGCTCCCAGGGTGGATTTGCATAACCATCATGGATAATGGATAGTTGTATGGAGGGGGAAAATAGACATGCAAAAATCATGACTCCTGATCATGGGTATGTTGCACTGATTCTTGATAGCACCCTGAGATAATTTATGCAGCCACTTCTTGTGAGATGCTGATGGTTATGTTCCCTGAAGTCTTTGGAATCATTCTTTCAGGGAGCAGAGGGAGATATTTGTAACAGGTTTGAACCAGGAAAGGGGCCACTTTTCCCTCCATAGCATTCCAGTGCTTGCTGATCTCTGAAAAGCCACTCTTGATGTCTTTATTTCCCCTAAATTTTACGTGTTGGGGGTTTTTTGTTAGCTAAAGGAAAAAAAAAACAACCCTCCCACTAGTTTTCTCTCTCACCTGTAACACCATAGTTGTGTTTGTTAAACAGATGGTTTAAGCCACCCAAATTTAGTAGCAGGGAGTGTCAGTGCTATTTTCAAATGTTTCTGTTATTAAAGCAAACAAACAAACAAAAAAAGCTTTTTCTTATTTAAAAACAAACAAAGCCCTGTGGTTTCTCAGGATTCCAAGCTGTGCAAACAGTGTTTGGCATCACCAGGGCTTATGATTCCAGCAGTTGCTCAGGCACCTGTAACAAAGGTTTCTCACCTGCCTGGCTGTGAACTCCACAATTAAAAAGGAACTGGTGAGAGCTTGGAGAGGCACTGCCTGTTCTGCTGGCTTTTCTGATTCCAGAGCATGTTAAAGTGTGAAGATAAGCCAAGTGTTTCACTCAGCAGCCCCTTTGATATATGGAGTGCCCAAATACGCCTTATTATTCTCTGCAGTTGTTAATAAAGTGGTTGGAGGGACAGGGAATAAGAATTGCTGTCCACAGAACTTTGATTTTTTTTTTCACTTAAACTTTTACCTTATTAGTTTTATGACTAGTTATTCTGTTGGCAGTAAAATATTCTGATTGCCCCCACACACTCCTGGGGGAAAATGGGTATTAGGTCTGTGTGTCCCACCCCAAACACACCTCACAGCTCCCCTTTTCCAGTTCTTCCTTTTGGGCTCTGACTCTCAGGATGTGGGACAAGGAGCTTGTTTGGAGAGATGTTCCACTGATGTCCTCTTGGGCATTTTGGGGACCTTATCAGATCCATTACAGGAGGTTCTCCCAGCTGTTAATGTGTTCCTTGGCCTTGGTTCAGCAGTTAATTCCTAAGAAGCTCCTGTTAGACAAAGCAGGACTCAGACATTCCCCCTCAATCTCAGTGAGGGATCAGAACTGGACTCAAATTCAGGTGAGGAACTGGGATCTGTTGAAAACAAGTGTGTTTTGTTCGGAAAAAGAGCAGGGAACTGAGTTTTCCATCAGCTGCAGTCAGCACAAAAGGTGGTGATGGACTAAAAAGGTTCCTTTGAAGGAGGGTGGTGATGGACAGGACTAAATTCTCCATCAAAATAAGGGCTGGTTTCAGTGGGATTTCTGGGAATGGCTGAACATGTTCTTCAGCAAACATGGGGAAAAGTGCTTGGTAGGAGCATTTAGAAGTGTCACTAAAAGCTGTTTGCAGTGAGCAGAGCAGGTGAGGTCAGTGTTGAGTGTCCTGGTTTGTGGTGAGAACAGAGCAGCAATTTCATGGGGTTGGTAGGTTGTTATTTTTAATTTTGCCTTTCTGCAATTGCAACCACTTTGCTTTCTTTTTTCCGCTCCAACAACTTAGAAGCCTCTAGGTGCACTGATGTAATAATGTTCCTGAAATCTCTCACTGTGGGTCTGGAGCCACCCTGGTGGGAGGAGGAGGCAGCTCCAGGCCTGTGTGTTCACTCCTTTTTCAGGATTTGAACTTGATTTCCCAGTGAATTATTGACATACAATGTAGAATTGCAATAAGGAACTGGGCACAACGTTCATATATGAGAAAGACCTGTGCTGTGCTGATTATTTGTGGCTGGGGAGAAGAGCTATGAATATAATTTGTGTTCAGTCCTTCCAGCAGGAACCCAGGTTAGGGCTCCAGCAGCCAAATCTGAATTCAGCTTGAAACAAGTACAGAAACTGCCCAGTTTAGGGCCAGATAAACCCAAATCATTGCTGGCAGTGCCCTGTTTACTCTGGCAGTGTGTGTAAATAACAATTATTAGATGGAGCAGAGAGTTCCTCCTGTTTTCACACCACAAATGAGAACACCCTGCATCATTACAACCTTCCCTTGTGTAAAGCACTGGCTGCCCTTTGCAGATCTGCATTCTTAGTTTGTGATACTAATTGCTGCTCACTAAGAGAGAGGGACCTTGGTGATCTGTTGCTGAGTTAACTAAGCTGTGGGCCCTGGAACATCTTTGCTTTGCTCCCAATCTCCAAGGCCTGAGTATAGGACCAAGCACTTGGAGTTGTGTGATAGAGATGTTCTGTAGGGGAAAAAGTCTAAATCCACTCACAAAAAGGCACAAATCAAACCTCAGGTTCTTTAATAAAACACATTCTGTGCACTGGCCTCTGGCTTAAGCTATTAAGAAGCCAGGAAATGATGCACAGTTTGTATGTGGGGAATCTGGAGTGCCCAGTGATTCATGCAGGAGCCTTGTTTCTGTCTTCTGATCTCCAGTATTTGTTGTCTTCTGCAGTGTGTCCCTGGGAGCTTGGAGGATCCCAAAACTGTGACACATCACAAGCTGATCCATGCTACATCTGAGAAGGTGCTGACAGACACAAAAACAGTGTTGGAGGAAAATATTCAAGACAGAGGTAAGATTGTCTGGGTTTTAATCCCGTCAGTCTGGAAGCAGCAGGTTGTGTCTCATTTGGCAAGTTCCAAGCAGCAGCATTTTTAATATCTACTCTCTGCTTTGACATAGGAAGCTAACTAAGGTGGCAAAAAAACAAAGTGGGGAAAAAAGACTTTTTTATCCCCCCCAGAGAAAGCACCTGGAGCAGTTTCCTTTTCTTCATTCCTGCTTTTAAGAGTTGAAAAGGAATTAAGAGCGGTCATTCAGTCAATAAGTTAAACTGATTCTTTTATCTCCTTTTAAAGTCATTTTTTAAACCTCCAGGGCAGCATTTACCCTTCAAAGCTCTTCAAGGATAGTTCTATGGCTTCAAGAACCACATTAGGGGGTTTCTTGAGGGTGTCCAGGTGAAGCAGGAGGGTGGTTGCTGAGGTCTGAGTGAAGTTTAGACCTCGTTGTCCTCTGCAAACAGGTCAAAATCCATTGCACTGTGGTCTCACTGACCACAGTAGAGTTTCTGGGGTGTGTATTTGCTCCTGAGATTTAAATGTGAAACAAAGACCTAAATAAGAGAGCTGGAATCAGCTTTTACTGGACAGCTCAAGGTAATGGCCTGTTTTGGAGCCAGGGCAGTGTCAGAAAGTGAGAGAAGCAGAACTGAAATATTGTGTGAACCAGAAACTCTGCAGGAGTAGAGTCCCTGCTTCTTCCTGGGAACTGCTGCCATGGTTTCCCTTCCAAGGCAGTGTCACCTGTCACTGACAGGAGCTGGGAAGTGCCATCCTGGGCAAAGGCAAGGGACTGTTCCTGCTGGGGGGGGTGTTCTTTCCAGGCTCCTGTGGAGTGTTGGGTTGCAGTCTGCACAGCCAGGCAGCACGAGCTGTGTATCCCAGCAAGCTGTCAGGTGACTGACTGCCTCTCCACTCCTTTTCCCCCTGCAGTGTGTGCTCTGCCTTCCCTGCTCCTGCCTGGCAGGGACAGGGATTCCAGTGACAGCTGAGTGCCCCGGGCTGCCTGTGCAGGGCTCCTGTCACGTCTGACCAGCTGCACAGAGGAGGGTTCACAGCCCTCACCAGCTGCTGCTCTTGGCTGTTCTGTGCTGGGCCAGACCGAGAAACTTGTCATGGAAAGCATGTTTTGTTTGCTTTGTACCTGCCCAGTGCAGTGGACTAAAAACTGCCTGTCAGCCAGGCCTGGCTGAAGGGCTCAGGGGCTGCACAGGTTTGGGCTCTGAGCAGTGGCTGCATCTCCTCCCTCAGAATGTCTGTGGCAGTGACTGAGGTGCTACAAAGCATCACACGATCTCTACTAAAAGGTTGCCTTTAAAGGGAGAATATTAGTCTTAAAAGCCCAAAGAGAGCTGGTGCCAGGTGATGTGAGAATGAAGACTTGTTTGCCCAGGTGGGCTGCCAGGGGTGCTCCCCTGCTGCAGGCTGTGAACCACTCCTGCCATCCACACACCAGGGTGAGCTTCAGCCTGGTGCTGGAAGTCCTTGGAGCTGAGTGCTTGGCCCCAGCTTAGACCAAAAACCATCTGTGCTGTCTCTGCTGCTTCCTTCTCAGTGCAGGCAGCGACAGTGCTGATTCTTTTCTTATTATCATGAGCTGTACTAATTATGTAGAAGACATCTGGAACCTGTAATATCCTCTCTTTAAGGGTGGTGTGTGAGGAGAAGAAACCAGTTACACAAAGTGTAATTAATCCTGGACCCAGTTTTGAATTCTCTGTGCACCAAGGAATCGTGTGAAACCATCCAGGTCCTAAAGGGTGAAAAAGGTCTGATGCTACGGTGGGATTGATACAAAATTCATCTCCAGGAGCAATTTGTGAAATATCTCACAGGAACTGTCCTCACATCCTTTCTAATGTACTGCAGTGTCATTCTCTTTGTAGATGTGTTGCTTTTGATCAAGAAACGTGCACCACCTCCACTCCCCAAGATGGCAGATGTGTCTGCAGAGGAGAAGGTGAGTTTGAAATACTTCTCAGCTTGGCAGTTTTGGTTAACTGCTTTATGGGTGGTGTGTGGAAGGGTTACTGTGCTGTACTCTGCTTACAGAGGTAAATGCTGCCATTGAGTTCTAGGAAAGTTACTTCATATTTCTTCCAAGCTTAGAGAAAGCTGATTTTACATTTTTAACTGTCATTCTGAGAACATTTGCCTTAAAATAAGACATGCAGTTGCACTCTGTGGAAGTGGCATAGATTTGATCTTTGAAAAAATATCTAATGACTTTATAGTTCAGCAAGTGCCTTGCTTTGGTGGAAAACCCAAAGAAATGTGTTGACTTGCTGTCTCCTGCCTTCAGCCACCCTCTAACCAGGTCTCTAGAGCTGAAGTGTTTTCTGTTTTATTCCATTTTATTGGTGTGTAATTGTTCCTGAGGGTCGGTGATGCCCAGAGTGCTGTTTGTGCACCAGTGTTACTGCAGTTCATGTAAATCACATAAACACTTCAAGCAGTGCCTTGTGCTTAAAATGGTGAATTCCTGGGTGTCTCTTCTTCATCCTTGCACAGCTTTGTTTCTTCTGGGGTGTCTGTGCATCCCTTCCTGCAGGGATTGTGTCCGTCTCTCTCCTCAATATGGTCCTGCTGTGCAGAATGTCACTGTAAGAGCACAAATTATAAGACTTGGGAATATTTATAGTCTGGACCCTGCTATGTTTTGTGCTGGATCAGGAGCATGTGCTGCAGATTCCCTGCATGATCCTGGCAGGCAGTGCAGCTCCCCCAGGGATAAACAGTGAAGTGTTTCCTGTGCCCAGCGCTGGTGCAGCTCTTGATGAGCTGAGCTGTGAGCAGGCCCTGGGGAGCAGAATATGGTCCTGGGCACTGAGACCTCTGTAATACATCTCCCTCTTTATGCTGGAATTTCCCTGCCTGTTCAGATAACAGCAATAGTTGTGAGGACTGAAAGTGGGGCAGCCAACAGGCCCAGTTTAGCTCTGTCACTGCAGAGTGACCCCGGTGCTGTTTGCCCGTGGTATTGAAGTTACAGGGCACTGCTTGGTGCTTTGGTGGAGAGTCTGAAACTGCTGTATTCTCTGCTCTGTGGATAATGGGTTATGAAGCCTGCTCCTGTTCCCTTCCCTGCAGAGGAAGCAGGAGCAGAAGGCTCCTGACAAGGATGCCATTCTCAAAGCCACTGCCAACCTGCCCTCCCGCAGCGCCGACCGCACCGTGGCCCATCACAGCATGAGGGATGTAAGTACTGCATTTACCTCCCACTCTGACACCCCAACAGCCTTTCAGCCTGTGCAGCCTTTCCTTTGACACATTCTACCTTTCTCCTTTCTGTATAAGAAAAATTCAGATGTATACAGTATATATTAAAATAAATAACTCAGAAGTTTAGACACAGCTTATGCTATTTAGTGATAAAAACCCCACTGTTTCTGAATGATCATAGAGACATAGAATGATTTCATAATCTTCATATTTTGATTTTAGGATTTTATTGGTATTTTATGATTTGAAATGTTTTATTCATGGAAAAGCCTCAGAACATATTCAAGATCTAGCAAACATTATGTTAGAGGGGTTTATTTCTTCAGGCTTAAATAGTTCAGGTGTTTGCAGTGGGGTTTCTTCTCTTCCTTGACCCATGGGGTAGAAATAAAAGGACCTTTCTGGACTTCCCAGTAAACAATGAAAATAAAGCCCTACTAAAGCACCTTTCTGAGCAGAGGGCCAGGCTGCTGCTGTGCTATAACAATAGATACATTAAGATTCAGTGATGTCTTGTCACATCCTGTCTAAATGTTTTGACAGTTTCCTTTCTTGCAGTTCCAGACAGAGCTCCGGAAGATCTTGGTGTCTCTCATAGAAGTTGCACAGAAATTGTTAGCACTGAACCCAGATGCAGTTGAACTATTTAAGAAGGCAAATGGTATGAACATATCCTTTGTAGTTCAGCCCTGGGAATTTGTTTGCTTCCAGGGCACAGGAGTGGGCTCAGAGGGAAGTTCAGACCCTGATGTGACAGCAAAGCCGCCACAAACTTTGTGGCAAAAGTTTCACCTTGTAGATTGTACAAAACTTGGGGATTTATAAGGTCCCTTTGGGGTGGATGAGAAGGTCCATTTAAAAATGATCAGTAGGGATGGTAAAGAATAGTTGAAAATGCACAAAGAGGTAGTAAAATGAGGAGAAACTGTGACTCTTGATTCAGCTGGTGGGAAATGCTCGTCCTTGAGAGCTGCTACAACAAGATCCAACTTAATTTCTAGAGAAATGATTAATGGATCTTCAGTGAATCTCACATATTTAATTATGTGGAAATCCCCTGGTCGTGTGTGAGTTAACTGCCTTTTGTTTGAGATCTTGAACACATCTGGACAAAGTCTTTGTCCTGGAAGAATCTCTCTGAGCCAGACCGAGCTGAGAGCAGCAAATTAAACGATGAGGTGGCAAACTGGGGGCAGGAACAAAAGAAGAGATGGAAGAGAGAATGGGGCTTGAACTTCACACATGCCATTGCATTGACACAGGGGTTTATTTGAGCTTGCAGTCAATTTGAACATTGTTCTGTTTGTGTGTGTGTAGCCATGCTGGATGAGGATGAGGAGGACAGAGTGGATGAAATAGCTCTGAGACAGCTCACAGAGATGGGCTTCCCAGAGAGCAGAGCTGTCAAGGCCCTCCGGTTAAATCAGTAAGTAAATCACTGCATATGCTTGGGAAAAAAAAAATCTGCATTTTTCCTGAAGTTTCCTTATGTGGGTCACCTAAATTTAGGTTGGGAAAAGCATTAACTCAGGGAACAGTGCTGCCTCAGGCAGAGTGCAGGTGGCACAGGGAAGGGGAAGCAGGACTGGATTGCCCTGGAAGGTCTGTGGGTTAACAAGGCTGTTTCCAGGTATTAAATCACATTTTCTTCTGCTTTAGAAGTCAGATTTCACAGAGGAAAAAGCCACCTTGTTCCATCCATGTTGGTCTTTCAGCTGTAGAAATATGCTTTGTGCTGGTCTTTAGAAACATTCCAAGGATATTGTGAAGTCCAGAGAGCAACTGCAGGAAAATAGGAGGGAATGTAGTACTTCTCATGCCCTAAGAACAATGAGCTGTACTGCCTTGTTCCTGAGAGGGGTTTGTTAAGCCATTCTTGAAAAATCTTAATGAAAGAGAGTCCACAACACATTCCAGTTGCTCTTTTCCAATGTCTCAGGAAGAGTTTCTCCCTGCTGTCCTCCAGCTTTCAGGTTATAACTGAAAAGCTGAACAGGCAAAGGTTTGCCCTTCCATGAACGTGTAATAATTCCTGTTACATGTTCACCTGCCCTTGCTTTTTCCTTCATATCCATTGGGAAAAAGACGTGTTTGGGAGCTCTGAGGATCCTGAGCTCGAGCAGTTGCACTGCCCAGCAAGTGACTGTGTCACTGAGGGCTCACAGGTCTCTCCTGAAGTCACAGTGAAGGGATTTCCAAGTGGGGTATTTCCAACTGCAGTCGTCCCTGTCGAATTTTGCTCTGGCTCAAGGCACATTTTTCATATATAATGTTTTTCACCCTTTTTTCTCTTGTTAATGGCATTCCTTGGTCGCTGGATGGTCTGAGGGAGGTCTCCTCAAGCACCAGAGTTTTTGCCATCTGAGATGTGTTTCCATGTGAATTTGGAAGGTGCTTTGCTGGCAGTTTTGTCGACAGTTGCAAACAGTCAGTGTTTGCCTGCTGTGCAACAAAGCAGATGATGGGGAGAGTAGGGTGACTCCCTCAGAACTGCCTGTTAAACTCTGGGTTGCAGCTGTCCAAGCTGGACGTGGTTCCTCTGTTTTCCTGGCTCCAGAGAAGATTGTGGTGCCCTGAGTGCACAGAGAATTGATGTGCCCCGAGATTGGCTCCAGCACTTTATTTGTGACTTTTCAGGTGCTAATTAACCTGCAAGTCAATATCCCAGGGGGATAAGAGCAAAGGCAGAGGTGTGTGGAGCCCTGCTGTACCTCTGGGGAGTTCCTCATCCCGCTGTTCCCCTTTGTTTCCCAGCATGTCGGTGACCCAGGCCATGGAGTGGTTGATAGAACACGCAGATGACCCTTCAGTGGATGCTCCCCTGCCAGGTCAGACTCCTGCAGAAGCCACAGCTGAAGCTGCTGCCTCCTCTGCTGAGGCAGCTGCGGGTCCCAGCTCGGAAGAGGGAGGGGAAGAGGCCAAGGATGAGCTGACGGAAATATTCAAGAAGATCCGGAGGAAAAGAGAGTTTCGTCCGGACCCGCGGGTACGTGCTGTGTGTCCATCAGGGATGGAAGGGACTGTAGGCACCAAGGAATCCTTATAAATCTTTAGCAAATAATTTAAATGGGACATCTGGGTACACGTGTGTTGTACTGGCTTGGCAGGATTTCAGTGGAGGTCTTTAGAGAGTGTTTAAATTTAGGAATACTTCCAGTCGTGGAATATTCTGAGTTGGAAGGATGTTACCTCGGGAATGCAGGGTCTAAATGAGAGACACTGTTACTTCTGCACCTGGAAACTGAGAGGACTGAAGTGAGACCCCTGGCACTGCCTCTTTGGCTGCTGTGTAGGGTGGCAGGACAGGAGGAGGTCCTTTGTAGAAAAGGGCAGGCTGGATGGGGCTCTGAGCGACCTGGACTAGTGGAAGGTGTCCTATGGCAGGGAACTGGAACTGGATGACCTCTAACCATTCTGGGATTCTATGAAAAGGACAGAAAGGTGTGACTATTTAGGGGGCAAGGAAGGGTATCACCAGCAGGTTGGAGTCTTGCAGCAAACACAGAAGTTGCCCTTTTTTCAGAACACAGGTTTGGCTGCACTGAGAAAGTGTTGTTCTCACACTGGGAGCTCACCAGGAGGGGCTCTTTGACATCTGGCACTTGAGATTTGGGTTAAAAGCTGCAAATGCATTTGATGACCTGGGTGCAATTTCTCAACATTGTTATCTAAATACATCACACTCACTAACAACATAATAAATCCAGGAGTGAAATTAAATAGGGTGAATAGAACCACAAATGCACATAAACCTTGATCATTCGATTTGAACAAGAGCTTTATGGCAGGAGAGGAGTTCCAAAACAAGGTGTTTGTCCTGTGCCTCTCCTTCCTACCCCAGGTTCACTTACTCTTTGCCTTGCATTCAGCTTTCAGTGTTGAGGACAAGAACTACCTTCACTCTTAAGATTTAGTTTTCTTCCATACTGAAGACACTTTTGAAGTAGGGTATTTGAAAACTTTGTTGATGAAATCACTGAGTGGTCCCCAAATGGAAACAATGAGGGGTTTTTACCCCACAAAAACCCCACACGCAGAAGGTGAAAGGTCATGATTGCTCTCATTTCTGCTTTAAATGTTACACTTATTAAGCTGTGCAATTCTTCTCCAGGCTGTCATTGCCCTGATGGAGATGGGATTTGATGAGAAGGAAGTGGTGGATGCACTCAGAGTAAACAACAACCAGCAAAATGCAGCTGTGAGTACAACATTCCCCTTCCCTACTCCTCTAAAAGTCTCTTCAGCTGCTTGTTTTCCTCATGGAATTGGGTGATGTTTTGCTTTATACTAAAGCCAACTGTTCCTGGAGGTTCAAGGAACCTCTTTCAAGTTAGATACACAACTACAATACAGAGGGTTCAGACTGCTCAGAGGAGCTCGGGGTGTGTGAGGTTGGGGCTGATCTGTCCAGCACAGCACACGTGGGCTTTCTAAAAACTTTTTAGACAAAACTCCCTCACCACAGTGTGCAAAAGAGATTGTGCTTTCCTGAGAAAGGCAAAGGTATTCCCTGTAATTAATAACTGATTAAAGGACAGGAATAAGTGATCCAGCAGAGATTCAAGCCATGCAGTTGTGTAAATGACCGTTCAGCAGCAATGCTTCCACAGTTTCTGGAATCAAAAAATGTTAAGGTTTTCAAAGATTCATTAGTCCCTCTGCTAGTGGGTGATGTGTTAAGGAAAATTATGTGGGCACAGCTGACAGCCAAGGAATCTTCTCCTCCTAAGGATCCAGTGCTGGCTACTGTTGGAGAGAGGGGATACTGGGCTGGGTGGTGCAAGTGAATAGTAAATGGTGTGAAAAGAAATGCACAGCTCAGGCTTTAACTGTGGGAGGAAAAAGTATTTTTAAAATGCCACGTTACCAAAACTTTTATGTTGAGACACTTGGGTTCTAATGAAATCTCTTGTGCCTGGTGATTTCTTTCAGTGTGAGTGGCTGCTGGGAGACAGAAAACCTTCTCCAGAGGACTTAGATAAGGGCATTGACACCAACAGCCCTCTCTTCCAAGCCATCTTAGAAAACCCAGTGGTACAGTTAGGGCTCACCAACCCTAAAACTCTACTAGGTAAGTCCTACCTGGGTTCCTGCTGCACATCCATGCATTTACCAGCCAATGGAAGTGGAGCCTGGATGATGACAGCCCCCTTTGGGGGATTGGGGCAGCTCTGGACCCCTTTCCTCCCTTCCAGCCCCGCTGTTTGTGTTTGCTTCATCCTGCAGCTCAGCTAAACCCAGACCTTGGGGCTGTCCCAGAAATGATCCTAATTCCCCAGGATTACACTTGCTGAACTCAGAACTTTAATAGCTGCTGGCTGCAATGCTTTTGTGGATTTAGGAGACCTTTTGTGTGCTCCCTTTGGCCACGAGGGGAAAAATCAGGAATGTCTGTCTCGAACTCTGATTATTTCCCAGAAAAAACAAGGCTGGGTCCTGCTGTGCAGCTCCCTGTGAGCCAGGCCTGATCACTGAGACAGAAGATAACTTGTGGAAAAGTATCCAAACAAGAAGGCTGAGCTAAGGCTTTGCCTGTCAAAATTGAGATAAAATGTGAAAACACACTTCCCCTCGTTTGGGTTTGAGCTCTGGGGTGAAGTCTGTGTGTTCATGGTCAGAAGGGCTGTGAGCACAGCATGTACCCAGCAGAGCCTCCAAGCTGGGAGGAATTGCTCCCTCTGACAACACAGAACAATGACTGGCTCTGTGATGTATATTTAAAGTTTTCCATTTAGTCTTTGTCTTCAAAATTTATTTGAGGCAATGCCTTTAAATAAAGGCTGCATGCACAGCTCAATCAAGAGGGCTCTTGAAAATACTGCTTTAAGTGTAATTAGGAGAGTTTGCAAGCCTTTAAATAATTCAAGAGCAGAACCTTCCCACTCCTGATTTCTGAACAAATGGTCTCTTCATTTCCAACCAGGGTTCCACACTGCAGCTCAGAGTATAAATAGAAAATGAAATGCCATTATAGGAGCTTGGATGAACATCAGAGAATATATTCCTAGGGATACATCTGCAAATTGCTTATGTCACAGATTTTAATAATGAGCTTTTACATTTAATGGGTTTCTTACAGAGTATTGATAAACCTTTGGTTTTAAGCTTTTGACTCTGTGTAAAAGAATATAGTTCAAGTGGTGAAAGGTGAGATGTGTGTTTTATTTTGGGCTTTTCTGGAGGCAGTGCTGCATGACCTTGAGCAAGGTATTAATGATGAGCCTTTCAGAGGTGCTGGGCACTTCCAGCTCCCACTAATGGCAGTTGAGCTCTGTGCACTGACACTCCTGGGAAAACCAACACTGACCTTGGTGCCAGACTCAACACTGACATTTTGGGGACTCTGCAGCTGCTTTTTTTGTCCTGTTCTGTAATGACTGGCTCCAAATGTCCAGGAGTTCAGCTCAGTGTCTGTCAAAAGGCTTAGAAATCATTGCCTGGCCCGTTTTCCTGCCAGATTTGCAGCTTGGCTCTTGCAGTGGCTGCCTGATTCCTTCAACATGAGGAGTAGGGTGAAAGCTGGAAAATAATAAACCAGCAAACAAAGCAAGCAGCCAACAAAGCTCATTGTAAAGACAGAAAGAAAAAATGCTCTTAAAAAAATGAAGGTGATCTTTTTGTGCACACCCAGCCTTTCCCCTCCTGTGTCTGGCTGCCTCCTTGACATCCTCTGCTCTTCAGACATCAGGAAGGAGGAATAAGATGCTGCTTCCCTTGTGGCTCCAGGGCCTCTGGAAAAGCTGGAACTCTGAGATTTGGGGGCTTAAAGGGCTACACTTGTGCTGGCTCTGTGTAGCCTTTGGCATTTCTGCTTTTGCTGGCTTAGTTTCCTCTCCAGAGGAGCCTCAGGGCAGCACAGGGAACAGGTGATGGTGCTTTCCATGAACTGTCTCAGTTAAGTACCAGGGAAAAAAGGGATACTGGTGCAAGAAATCCAGGCTGGGATGTGGAAAAATGTTTGATCAGAGGAGTGGAGCTGCAGGAGAGTGTTCTGTAGGAGTGCTGGCAGCAGATGGGCCTTCACAAACGGATGGATTGCATGGCATGTTCCTGCAGACAAATGCCTGGGGACATTTGTTAAGGCTTTAGCCCTTCAACCCCACGGCCTTGAGGTTTTGTGGGATGGACTGTAATCCAGGCTGAGCATTTAATCGCTGTCTGCAGTGAAGTTAATGCTGAGAAATGAGGAAAGCACAACCTGGACCATCATCCCAGACTGTGGAGTCTTTGGAGCACAGGTGGTACAAGGTGCATTCCCACCATTTCTGGGTCGTGCTTGCCCACTGCCTTTGAGCTGTAGCCATTTCTAACTGTCCTGAAACATCCCAAGCACTGAAGCTTTGCCAGGACTAACTGTTGCAATTCCCATCTCTTGGCAGCCTTTGAGGATATGCTTGAAAACCCCTTGAACAGCACCCAGTGGATGAACGACCCCGAAACCGGGCCCGTGATGTTACAGATCTCCCGGATCTTCCAGACGCTGAATCGCACGTAGAGGGGGGTCCCAGTGCACCGTGCCACTTCCTCCTGCCCCTCACTCCAGGGAAGTTTGGGGAGGGGGCAGCTGGAAGGGGAAGGGAGGCGAGGGGGGAGATCCTGAGGTGGGTCTCTCCCACGAGAGCTTTTGTAGTTACGGCCAACTGGAGTGAGTTGCCTTGTGGATTTTAGTGTTAGTGGAAGAGGTTTGAAGACTTGTTTTTGTTTTCAGGTATTAGGTTTAAAATAAAGTATATCAGAAAAACAAAACAAACAAAAAAAAAACCACACAAATAGGAAAAGGTTTTGTGCTAAAACACTTCAGAATCTGATTGTTGGAAAGAAACACGATCCTGCTTGTTAAAAAGGCCTGTGACAGTAGTTTTCTAGCCAGCTTTGCTAGGACCTGGCTAGTGTTTACAAAAGGTCACTGACCACTGGCATAGGATATTAATCATCTCCATACAGTATTAATTTATGGCTTGATCAAATTGCAAAACTGCTTTTTAAAAAAAAAAAAAAATCGATTTTAGGAAATGTTTTTTTTTAAAAAGCCCCAAATATTGGGAGAGCAAGCACATTTCTGTCCAAACTTGTTTAATTTAAAACAGAATCATTCAGAGATGGAATTCTAAATAAATAGCATTACTTTTTCCTATTTATTTGCTGCATTAGTGTTGTTGCAGTCCCACAGGGGTTGTACTTGCAGGAGGTTCTCTGTCAGGTACCACAAAGGTGCAGCTTCTCTCTCGCCACAGAATTCACCACACCAAGACTTGAATTCCCACGTGGCTGCAGTTCCTGAGCTCGTATCCCTCTTCCATATCCCATTGCAAGGAGGGATATGTTCACATAGTGGGGTTTTTTTAATCCATTTTTATGTGCACAGTTTTGGAAAGGGACTTCTGTGGGGTTTTTATTCTGTTTACAAAGAAGCAGCTGATTTGCATGGGGGGGGTTGTTGATCTGTAAAGCAGCAGAACCACGTAGGTTTTTATCTTGTTTAAGGCATTTAAAGCACGCTTGAAATTGTTATCTTTGAGTTAGAAGTGGGGTTTCTTTATGCTTATTTTTACCATGGCCATACCAAGAATGTCAGGCTGGGTCTTTCCTGTTTTGCCAGGAGACTGACTTGAGGTTTGAGACAGGAATTCTGAGCTTTTAAGAGCAGAACTGTGAATATCCACGACTGGGATTTTACAACTGGGCTCTGCAGGTGTCACTTTTTAACAGTCTGCTAAAAAAATTGGGGTTTATTTCCAACTTAATGAAATATAAATGGTATCTGCCATCATCCCTGCCATGTCCTGTGCTTCACAACCCCTTAGGAAAGGCAGGATAGGCAAGTCCTGCCTCTCCAAACTGCAGAGCAACCAGGAGGAGACCCTGTGCTTAACCAGCCCAGAGGTGTCCTGTCAATCCTGAGCAAAGTCACCTCTGGAAGTGTGGGAGGGTTTTTCTGTGCAGTTGGGGTTTGGTTGGTTTGTTGTTTTTTTTTTTTTTTTTAAAACAAAAACTCAACAAGATGCAACCTGAAACCCTACAACAAGTTTTGGCCTGAGCTTGGCATGTGTTCTGTGCTGTTCTGCAGTCGAGGCACTGAAGTTGCCAATTTCTCATCATTAATATGAAGGGTGGGGAAATCAAAACAGCCTGAGATTTTATCTTGACTTACTATCCCAGGATTTATTATTGGTTTGTTTTTTTTTTTTTGCAATTTGTAATTCCTTCTGAAGCTTTACAGTTGAGATGACTGCTGAAATATTTACTTCTGCACTTAGAAATTCCAAGCTTTATAGAGATGCTTCTTCTGTTCAAATTGGACAGTAAAACCATTTTTGTGGGCTCTTGCTAAGAATAGACTGACAACGTGACATTAAATTATAACCTTCTCCTGTAACTCAAGCCAGGAACCAGATCCTGCACCCCAGTGAGCTCAGCACAGCTACTCACGAGTAGTTGTGACTGAATGTTGTGGTGTTATGAGAGGGCTTGATTATTTTTGTCCATTTTTTGCTTATCCCTGAAGCTTTTTTTCTTGTAATAATACCAGAAGACTGTTTTACTTGAAGCTCTTAATGTTAGAGCCACACATCCTTCTCTACCAATCAGGATTCTGGTTAATATTCCTTGTAATGGGTGTTTTTAGAAGGGAAAGTTGGGAAAAACTACCCTGTAGTTTGGTGGGGGGTGTATTTGGCTTTTGAGTGGACAAGGAGAGATTCAGACTTAAGGAACTGTCTTGAGGAATGTAAAGGCTTGGGAAATGCTGGTTTTGATTTCAGCAGCACATGGTTGGACTGTGGAGTGGCTATGGAGCTTCCAGGGAGATAAAAGGGATCTGAGCTGCCTCCCTTGGTCAGCCAGGACCCCTCAGTGCCACTGAACTGGTTATAAAGTGTGGGCAAAAAGCTTCAGTAAAACAAATTATTCTTATGTAATAGAAGGTGAGATTGCCCAGGTTCAGCAGCAGCAGTTACAGACTGTAGGGATAAAGGAATGCTGCACCTTTGGAATGCTTGGAGGCTTGAGAATCCATGGTTATTTCTGGGTTTGGTTGTTCCAGAGCTCCACACTTGCACAGCTGAGGTGTTGGAGAGTGTGTTCTTGTTTGGGGTGGCTTTAACAGGGCCCTGCTTGGCTTGGGGGAACTTGAGTTTGCAGTGACCAGAAGCTGAGAGAGAGCAGAATTTAGGGGGTGTGGTGTTTGCAGCAAGGCACGGGAGTTGGTTTAAAACAACCCAAAACTACCCTTGAGGTTGAAGGAACACGTGAGGAATTGCTCAAGACATCTGTGGGTTGGGGGTGTGAATTAGTCCAGGAGCTGTGTGTCCCCATCACTCCAGGGGGTGGGATTGCTGCTGCTTCACAGAGTTGAGTCCGTGGTGCTTGTAAAGGCTTTGATTGGCCCAGTTTTTACAAAACCTGCAAAAACAAAGTAGAATATCACCATTCCTGAGTGGGACTGTGTGATCCCCAGGCACAAGGAATGTGTGTGACAAGAGCTTTGCCTGGTGATCAGTTGTCCTGTTCCCTGGTCTGTGAGAGATCCCTAAACCCAGGGGATAGTCTTGTTAAATAAACCAGCTGGTTTTGTGAGGAACTCACAGTGAGGGTTTACAGGCTCAGGTCCTGTCCTTGCATATCTGGTGTTCAAGTTCTAACCAGCAGGGACATGTCACAGTTAAGTTTCTCATGACATGGTCTAAGGAATATTTGGAGGCCTGTGAGCTGGAGCAGGGAGGAGATGGGGTGGTAGGTGACTAATTGTGTTTCTTGCAGTATTTCCCCACTGACAGAGACAATCTTGTACCTTTTGCTGTGACAGGACTCTTGCAAGCCAACCAGCTATTTATTGAACTATATCTAACTTATAATTTTGTCATCAGAACACTGATATTTTTAATAGAAATGTACTATATGGAAGTTTGTTCTCAGGGCTTCGTATTTATACTCTTTTTAGGGGGGATGCATTTAAAGGGATGTATTTGGAAAAAAGGCCAGTGGCTACTTCAGCTTGGACCTTGATTGTCCTGACCTGTGAGCCCGAGCTTGTGTAACTCCTGCTAAACCCTAGTCCCTGGTCCAGTCCAAAGAATCTGCCATTCCTTCTCTCCCTGTGAGCAGTGGCATGAGTCTTCCTTTAGGATTGCTGCATCACTCCCTGGCCATGGTCACACAGGGTAACCCAGCTGCTTCCCGGCTCGCTGGTCTTTGCTCCATTTCAAGGACGTTTCTGTTCTCCATGCAGCTGGAAAATTGCCTTGCATGGTTCCTAAAGCAGCCAGCAGTGCATTCCTCCTCTGGAAAGGTGTGAGGTTCCCTCCTGCACAAGCTCCAAGACCTCCAGCTCGTGGCTTTTCTTGGCTCCTCTCAGCCTCTCACAGATGTGACCCAAACCTTGACACCCCCCCCATTTCTTTCCTCACTCTCCTGGAACCAAACTTGTCTTTTGGAGATTGATCTTCATATCCAAGCAACACTTTAGTGGTTATTGAAATCATTTTTTTTTTTTAGTTAGGACTGTTATAATTAATTTTTTTAGGCATTGTGATTCATGGGCTGAGGATCTTTTAATATATTTTGGAAGTTGTTGAAATCAGCATCGCACCAAACGAATGTACAGTGACACTGTCAGCAAATCTTGCCTGTAGAAGGGACACAGAGGTTACCTGTGATCTCTGCTCCAGGGGCAATTTTCCCAAAGTCTTGTGCACAGGATAATGAGTGTTTCATCCAAAGTAACCGCCCTGTTTTTCTACTTTTAATAATAAATAACATTTTTATTAACTCGCAGAATAGCGGCGCTTCCAGCTGGTATTTCCATCCGACCGTAAGTCCCTGAGCTTTGAGGTTTGGGATGCTCCTGTATCCTCCTCTCTGGGACAGTTACTCCTCGGAGAGATTTGTGCTGGCTGGTGTAGGGCAGTGGGTGCAACCCCCACCTCCCTGCAGAGGAAATTATGTCCACGTGAATGTGCTCTCATGGTGGTTGTTCTCACCTCCATCCCGACATCTGGGTGTAGCAAAAGGGGTTTTTTTTCAGGACCTCTTGCCCTAGATTTGAAGATCTTCAATGCAGATCCTGTTTGCAGCATGTGAACTTCAATAAATGTAAATGCATTAAATTCTTACTGAATTTGGGTATAGTTTTATATCGTGCTCTGGGGAGAGGGAGGAAATTGGATCACGTTTTAAGCGAAGCCCCCACAAGCCCAAGTGTCTTTGTTGCAGCAGGTAACAGAGGCCTGGAGAGATTTTTAATTTGCATATTTTTATCATGGCTTAACGAACTGTACACGAATGTGATTTGCTACCCAGCACTTCCCACGAGGCAGCACCAGGAAAATGATATCGCAAGGTACTGACTTCACGTTTCTTTTCATGTCACCTGTGTATCCAATAATTAGGTACCACGTAGGATAACTTTGATCTGGCACTGCCAGCAGTGTGTGGCATGCTCAGCTCTTCCTAAGGTGTAACATTACTTTTCTGAAGCTTAACTAGGGCGGATGTCCCTGAGCCTGTGGAATTCAGGATTCATTCTGGCCACGCTCCCGTGGCTCGCTGACCTCTCCCCGAGTGGGGAAAACCAGCAGGATTTGCTCCCTCCAGAAACCCTCCAGGCAAAAAAGGCAAGGAATGCTGCTAATTTGTGATCCTTTTAAGCAGTTGCTGTTGTCTGCTGAAAGGTATTCCTGGAAATTAGGGAGGTGTTGGCAGAGCCAGACCTGTTCAGGCTGGAATTATTGCGTGTGGAGGTGTCAGACCCACGGCCGGGGCTGGAATGAATCCTGAGGCTTAAACCTGCTCACACATACACACCGAGACACTGATGTTATGTGTGTTGTACATTTATAATATATCATAAAAATAAAGTTTTTTGATTTATTACAAGGTGTTCTGAACCATCATTTGCAGGAGCAGCAAAGGTTTGTGGCTCCACATCGTTGTTCTGCGTTCCTTGTACCTGCAGGTTGCTGGGACTGTTTCTCAAAAAGTGGGATATTTGGAGAGCTGGTCAGGAAACTTCCACAGAATTTGTGCAGGAAATCCTGGTTCAGGAGCTGGTTTTGCACCTGGAATTTATTTCTCTGTTTTTCAGGAAAAGTTGCATTTGGGGAGATTCATTGCAAGGGCTTTGTGAACCAAGATCTGGTGATCCCCTGGGATGTTCTGATGCCATTGAAGAGGGATTTATCTTGACAGTTGTTGACTGACAAATTGAAGCCCTTTCTTTCCCAACAAGGGAACCCTCATTAAGGAAAACAGCTCCAGCAAGGAGCAGCTGGTGGGATGCAGCAGCTTGCACATGATGTGATGTAACCAAAATTGCCTTTGGGCTGCTGGAGATCTGGGATTGAGCTGGGAAGAGCCTCCGAGCCTTGGCCTTTGTCTGCAGCTGCCTTGGAGGCAACTGATGACGAGTGTAAGTGTGTGAGATTATTTCTCTGAAGGAGACAGGATCTCTAGAGTACATTTGGAGTTTTTTGGGGGTTTGTTTTTTATTAATCAGTACTTTCCCCCAATGTTTAGGGCAAGGAACCCCCCAGCAGCCTGTTTATGTAGCACAGGTTGCATCAACTGCTGAGGAGTTCAGAGTCATCCCGTGAGAGGTGGGGGATTAGAGTGTGAGACATCCAAACCCTGCTTGCTCAGGGCAGGCTGGTAAATGTGGTGTTAAATGCAGGTATTTGTGGTGTCAGGTGGCCCTAACTGAGATTCCCTGTGATGCACAGATCAGCAGCAGGACAATTCAAAGGTCTGGCTCTCCACTAATTTAAAATTAAAACAAAAAAAAACCCTTAAAGCAGCTCGGGGTGTATCATTAGATAATGGTACTTCTGAACCTAAACTGGTACAGCAGGTCTGGGCAGAAACACACACCTTAAAAATTAAAAAGTGCTGCTGTGTGAGTGACAGGATGGGCTGTAATTGGCGTGGGGTTTGTCAGCTCTCCGTGTGAAGGGTGGTTTCAGCACAGGGAGGTGTCACTGGGGTTCTCCAGCAGGGATAGGGAGCGAGGCTGCAGCTGCTCCAGCCCAGGAACCACCTCCAGCGAGGCCAAAATCCTGCCATGAAGGGCGGGGAAGGTGAGTCCAGGTTGCACTTGGCTGTGAAGATCAACTTGGTGTTGGCAGGTGAGACATCCCTGACAATGCCAGCGGTGGGGCAAGAGCTGTTCCCAGCCCCTCCAGGGGCAGTTTGCCAAAGAAGTCAGACTTTCTCCTTCCCTGTGCTCACTCCTTTCCCGTGAATCAATGGTCACAGTCCCACTGCTCCATAAAGAGGAGCAGAATATTGAACAATTACCCGTCAGCTCCTCCAACCCTCTGCCTGGGCAGGGTTCCAGCGGTTGCCCAGAGAAACTGTGGCTGCCACATCCCTGGAAGTGTTCATGGGAGCAGCCTGGTCTAGTGGAAGGTGTCCCTGCCCGTGGCAGGGGATGGAATGAGATGAGCTTTAAAGTCCCTCCCAACCCAAACCATTGTGATTCTGTGGAACAGAAGGAAGCAGCAGATGCTGCCCTTGGGAGTGCCCGGCACGCTCAGGCCAGGCTGCCGTCCCCTCAGTGTCAATCCCATTGTTCCCTCTGTGCTTGGTCATGCCTTTTTTTTAAATAGATTTTGTTCTGAGAGGAATTGGCCAAAGGAAGCAGCAGCTCTGGAAGCCGCTGGGGATGATTTGCTAGAGGGTAATTGGGTTTGGGGCAGAATTAATGGAGAAATTCTTTTGTCTTGATATTCCAAAGCTTTCACTTCAAATGCGGGACTTGCACTTGTGAACTGGATGTTGCTCCAGTGGTTTGTTTGTGGAAAATGGCTGGAGAGTGGGCAGGGCTGTGGTGTTCATGTGTGAGCTTGGCACGAGTGCCAGTGAGCGTGACCTGAGCCCGGCCCTGTGTATCCAGTGTCACCAGGAATCCAGGCACTGGTGGAGCTGGGGGAGGGACACCGGTAACTCGAGATGTGCTGGACCAGGCCACGCTGGACCAAAATAAACCTGGAGAGGTGACCAGCTCTCAATGCCAGGGCTGTAAATCAGATGCCTGGCTGAGGAGCTGGGGCCTGAATACAAGGCCTGAGCTGAGAGCTGCAGTGCCCGGGGCTCCCGGGGGGGTCACTGATGGCTCTGGGTGCTGGGCTCCAGCAGCACACCCGGGTGCTGGGCTGCAGGTGGGATGCAAACCCTGCACTGTGGGGTCCTGCACCCATCCTGTACCCTGGGATGCAGCAGTGCTGCTTCCCTGCTCTGTCACAGGGAAGAGCTGCAGCTCAAACAGGTTTCGTTACCGATGCCATCAGCAGTTGCATAACGAGCTCTCCCACTCTGGGAAGTGACTGTGTGGAGCTGGGAGCTGGTTCCACGCCAGGGCTCGGGGTGCACAGTGGGAGCAGTGGCTGTGGAGGCTTCACTCCTGCTCCCTGTTGAGGACTGGCTGAGCCTCTGGGGCTGTGCAGGTGTGTGTGGCTGCTGGTGCACCCTGAGACAGAATTATTCATGGCAGACTGGGAGCGCTTATGCATGATGTGGTTTCTTGGCTTTTATGAACCGTAGCTCAGGCAGAAACCACATTTGTGTTGCAGGGAACCTCTGTTTGTCCTCTGAGGAAGGACTGCTCCACAGGGAATCCGTGCCTGGGAGTCCCAGACCCACAGCAGCTCCCACACACCTGGAGTTGGGTTGAATTATTTATTGAGCTCCTCCTGGAGCTGCTGTGCAGGACAACCCTCGGAATAGCAGAGCCCCGGGGCTGAGCTGCCCCTGCTGCCTCCAGCCATGTACCCACCTCAACCCCTTCCTGTTGTGAGGGCCAGAGAGGGTGTTGGGACATCTCTCTGGATTTCTTGGCACGTGGAATTAGATTTTTCACTCTATTCCCATGTGCTTGCGTGGTCCCAGCTGGGGTGATCCAGGCATTGTGGGCTGCTGGACCTCCACACCCTGCACAGCTCCTCTGTGAGCGTGCAAGAAAAGGGAAGTAGTTCAGAGCCTTTAAAATCATCCTTAAAAGGACCCCAGGCAGCTATTTCCACACTGTTGGATCGGTGCTGCAGCATCCCTGCTCCATCTGTGTTTTCCCTGCTCAGGAGCTGGTTGCCAGGCTGCCTGTGATGAATCATGGGGTGCTCTCTGCTTGGACCCCCCTACTCCCTGTTCCCTCACAGACAGTGCCTTCCTCCCCTGCTCCCACATGGGAACACTCACCAAAAAAAGAAAAAATGCACAATCCTCCCCGAAATCTGCGCTCTGGCCTCCGGTGAACCTTCCCCATCCCTCGTCTCCCATTTGCTGCCAATGCAGGCAGGAGCAGGCAGCAGCCCACTCCTCCTGCCAGCCCCCTCTCCCCCTTGCAGCAGCATCATGCCTGGTGCAGCCCAACCCATAACTGGTCCGAGGTGTTTCCATCCAGGTGTCTGGAAGTGGGAGATTTGGAGGTGCAGCTCAGGCCACCACGGGCTTCCCGGGTGCCGTCACTTCCCAAATTCCCGTGGGTTACCATGGACTGTATTTATAGTTTGCTGGGCTAAAAATAAAAGCCCCAAGTGTTGGGTTCCCTGAGCCCAGCAGGGATGCCCAGGAGCCCCCAGAAGGGGGCTGGTGGGGAGGTGTTGAGTGATGCCCCTGGAGCTGCTCCCATGGGAAGGTTGATAGGAGTTTATTCTTTGGAGATGGTGTAGCTGCTGCACCTCTGGCTGACCCAGCACTGCTCTTGTTCAGCACAGAGCCTCGTGCAGGACTCTCATCCTGCTAAAAATACTTCCTTCTGTCTCCTCGGGCTCAGTCTAAGGGAGGCTGTGAGGGGACAGAGCGGCAGCGTTTCTGCCCGTGGCTGCAGATGGTGGGTGAGGAAGCCCCGCGGGGCCCTGAGCAAACCTGCTGCCAAATCCCTCTGAAAAATGTCTGATGGGAAGCGTTTGTGAGCTGGTCCCAACCCCCTGTGTGTGTGCCCAGCAAACATTCCTTCCTGCTCAGGACTGGTTTCCAAGCAAGGTCCCTTTTCTGCTCCCACGACCACAAGTGCTGGGAGCTGCAGGGCAGGTTCCATAGGGATGATGTGCAGGAGCAGCGTGGCTGAAGACAAGGAGCCCAGCACATCCTCCTCCGAGGTGACTCCCCCCCCATTCA